GCTGAAGTTTGAAACTGACAAGCACACATGCAAAGTAAGTGAATTTTGATTAATAGTTTTTTCAGAAGTTTTTATCTGAACTAAAGTGTCAATAGCTTTGTTTCGCCATTTCACTAAATTTTATAACATGATACAAACAACAGTTACCGTATTTCTCAGCTTATAAAAACCCAAGTAACTCATAATTCTCAGATAAAAATTGCTTTTAAATCAGGAGTGATGCTATACAACCGCTTGGCTTTTCGACTCCTTCGTCAAGTACTCTTGGACATTCCTGTAATTGATGGTGTGCATACAGGGCTCACTGGGTCATTCCGTGCCAATTCAACGGGCCATGGCACCATATGTCACAGATTTTGTTCAAACTTGGTGGTAAGGTTCTGTTAGCTGTTCCATACATGATAATCGAAAGCAAAAATTCAAATTGCTTTCTGTTGTGGTGTTACGGTAGCACAAAGTTCAATGAACTTTGCAACAACAAAAAGGGGAAACTGACTGGCCCATAGAATAAATCACTGACTTTAAGGACCCATATCTTGAGATTGAAATTGATTTGGAAGCTGAATTTGAATACATGGGTACAACTACTGTAGTAGAGCATGAATATAGGAAAATAATGCCCATCATGCCTCACTCCTTAATTTTAGGGGGGGGGGGTTTGTCAAAAATGATCCGTCATGATGCGTCACATGTATTTTTTCAAATTTTAAAGGCCCCTAATCTTGGACCTTTGCATTAACTGTTTTTTATTTCAATTTTAGTGTAATCTCTGACTACTAATATTGACATTTATGTGAAAGACAGAACAATTGTAGATGTTTTCCCTGATTTGGGTAAACCCCAAAATGGCCCCAGCCAGAAATCCGCCTTAAAATTGGCCCAAAACGGCGGGGGGGGGGGGGGGGGGGGGGGGGGGGGGGGGGGGGGGGGGGATATAATTTTCTAGGTATTTTTTAGGAAAGAGAAAATTTGGAAGATTTTCACAATGTTTCTAATGTGTTTGTTCACAATTCTTACAGGCTGTTATAATGGAAGCATAATTTGGCTGAACCTCCAGAGTGCAGTATGCACATGCAAATACGCCATACTTGTACTTTTTAAATGAGGAGCTCTAATTGAAGAAATGGGGGGGGGGGGAAGGGGTCACATACATTAGCAACTGATCTTTTATTGAAATACATTCAAACATTTCTCCCGCAAATTGTAAAATGCAAATTGTAAAATGTATTGAAATGTTTTCAAATTGGCACATGAATTGATTTAATGTACATGTACATGTACCGGTAGGTATACCCTAAAAGTGAAATGACGGTGACCTGAATTGTTTCAGATTGAGGACACTCTTATTGCTGCATTGCAAATACTACAGGATACATGGTCAATGTTAATTTGAAATGTGCTACTCTCTGAAGAAAGATTATCATTAAGTAAGCAATCACTGACATTTTCTTACAAGAATTGGTTTCCATGTGGTGATGGTGGTACACCATAAAAAGGATGAAAAAGATATTTACAGCTAAAAAAAACATGACTGGTAATCTTGCGGAGCATCTCGTTTTCACATGCATAACGTCCGTTTCTCCAACATCACAGTGGATTTTTCTAAGTGGTCATCCATGTTTGTAAAGAGTGAAGTTACAACTGCTAGTGCATAGTTATTTCAAAGGGCTTTGGCAAGAAACTTCACAGAGTTTCACCAATACATTCCAAATTTGAAAAGCCATGTCCGAAAACGTAACGTCCGTAACACTCATAGCAACGATTATGTCTAATTAATTAATCAGGTTACCTCTTAGTTCACCATACCATGTTGTACATTTGGGCCTAAGTCTGAAATGTGCTGAGTGAATAAAATTTGCTTTGACCCCAAATATGTTATTTTGGTTTGTCAAAGTTTCTAGTCGCCTCTGAATGTAACGTCCGTAACGGTGGAATTGCCCATTTGCAGCAGACCTCATTTATTACATGTATTAACAAAAACAGGAGCTTCCTCATCAACCCAAATTTTATCAACTTTCGAGGATCTAATTCTACTATGAAACCTAGAAGTTGATCAGGTAGATTGGTTTGCAGAAAAAATAAGCAAATTAAGAAGCTGAACTATTTATTTTTTGGCCTTATTAATAAGTTTAGTATTTAAAATGTTTTGGAAGGTTTCTTGTACATGGACTATGCAATAGAGGACATGTACAGCAAGCCCCAATTAAAAACATTTTAGTATTTAAATGTTTTGAAAAGTGTATTGAACATGGACTATGCAATAGAGGACATGTACAGCAGGCCTCATTTATTAACAATTTTCAATGTTTTGTAATGTGTCTTGTACATGGACTATGCAATAGAGGACATGTATAGCAGGCCCCATTTATTAACAATTTTAAATGTTTTGAATGTGTCTTGTACATGGACTAAGCAATAGAGGACATGTACAGCAGGCCTCATTTATTAACAATTTTAAATGTTTTGTAATGTAATTTTTGTACATGGACTATGCAATAGAGGACATGTACAGCAGGCCCCATGTATTAACAATTTTAAATGCTTTGGAATGTGTCTTGTACATAGACTATGCAATAGAGGACATGTACAGCAGGCCCCATTTATTAACAATTTTCAATGTTTTGTAATGTGTCTTGTACATGGACTATGCAATAGAGGACATGTATAGCAGGCCCCATTTATTAACAATTTTAAATGCTTTGGAATGTGTCTTGTACATGGACTATGCAATAGAGGACATGTACAGCAGGCCTCATTTATTAACAATTTTAAATGTTTTGTAATGTGTCTTGTACATGGACTATGCAATAGAGGACATGTACAGCAGGCCCCATGTATTAACAATTTTAAATGTTTTGCAATGTGTCTTGTACATGGACTATGCAATAGAGGACATGTACAGCAGGCCCCATGTATTAACAATTTTAAATGCTTTGGAATGTGTCTTGTACATAGACGATGCAATAGAGGACATGTACAGCAGGCCTCATTTATTAACAATTTTCAATGTTTGTAATGTGTCTTGTACATGGACTATGCAATAGAGGACATGTATAGCAGGCCCCATTTATTAACAATTTTAAATGTTTTGGAATGTGTCTTGTACATGGACTAAGCAATAGAGGACATGTACAGCAGGCCTCATTTATTAACAATTTTAAATGTTTTGTAATGTGTCTTGTACATGGACTATGCAATAGAGGACATGTACAGCAGGCCCAATGTATTAACAATTTTAAATGCTTTGGAATGTGTCTTGTACATAGACTATGCAATAGAGGACATGTACAGCAGGCCCCATTTATTAACAATTTTAAATGTTTTGGAATGTGTCTTGGATGGACTATGCAATAGAGGACATGTACAGCAGGCCCCATTTATTAATAATTTTAGTATTTAAAATGTTTTGGAATGTGTCTTGTACATGTACATGATGGACTATGCAATAGAGGACATGTACAGCAGGCCCCATTTATTAACAATTTTAGTATTTAAAATGTTTTGGAATGTGTCTTGTACATGTACATGTATGGACTATGCAATAGAGGTCATGTACAGCAGGCCCCATTTATTAACAATTTTAGTATTTAAAATGCTTTGGAAAGTGTCTTGTACATGGACTATGCAATAGAGGACATGTACAGCAGGCCCCATTTATTAACAATTTTAGTATTTAAAATGCTTTGGACAGTGTCTTGTACATGGACTATGCAATAGAGGACATGTACAGCAGGCCCCATTTATTAACAATTTTAGTATTTAAAATGTTTTGGAATGTGTCTTGTACATGGACTATGCAATAGAGGACATGTACAGCAGGCCTCATTTATTAACAATTTTAGTATTTAAAATGTTTTGGAATGTGTCTTGTACATGGACTATGCAATAGAGGACATGTACAGCAGGCCTCATTTATTAACAATTTTAGTATTTAAAATGTTTTGGAATGTGTCTTGTACATGGACTATGCAATAGAGGACATGTACAGCAGGCCCCATTTATTAACAATTTTAGTATTTAAAATGTTTTGGAATGTGTCTTGTACATGGACTATGCAATAGAGGACATGTACAGCAGGCCCAATTTATTAACAATTTTAGTATTTAAAATGTTTTGGAATGTGTCTTGTACATGGACTATGCAATAGAGGACATGTACAGCAGGCCCCATTAATTAACAATTTTATTATTTAGTTGCAGCAGGCCCCATTTATTACATGTATTAACAAAAACAGGAGTTTCCTCATAAACCCAAATTTATCATCTTTCGAGGAGCTAATGTTACTATGAAACCTAGAATTTGATCAGGTAGATTGGTTGCGTTAGAAAATTCAACTGATCAGCTCAACTTTCTTTTTGGCGGAATAATGTCCTTAGATAAGATTACTGTTATGAGTGATGCGACGGACCGGCTATTTTATGCAAAGAACTTGAATAATATACTAGCACTTTCTGGCACGTTTGGGACGGTGAGTAAAAAGAAGTAAATGAAGCCGTCTTTATATTAGCAGTAGCAGAGAAAGCCACATGAACAAAAAAATTATAATAAAAACTCGTAAAGAAAAAAACAACAAGTGTATCGGTACATTATTAAAGTCATGTACCCTCCCAGAGACTAATTAATCAGGACATTGACACACTGTGGCACCAAATGCACATACTTCTTTCTATTGAAACTCTAATCTTTTCATCACAACCTCTTTGTCTGGTTTGGCCAGCCAGCGAATTTCTATTGTCGGCGCTAATAGTGGCAATTAGTGGCATTCGGACCCTTGTGCTTATAGCCTGCATAATTGGCACGCAATTGCCTGCACCGACATGCAAAGGAATGCAAGGACCAGGCCAGGCGCCTGGCGTGCCGGTCTTGTGACAGGTCTTGACTACAACACTCTTGCCTTCTTTTGTCTTTGTATAAGTTCCTTGCTACATGTAGGAGCATTATCATTTATTTTAAGTAAAATTTGGCAATTCTGGAATGTAAATAAAAAAAATATAACTAACCTGTACTCAACACCCTGGTGGTTGAAAAAGAAAGTGTAATCGTTATCGTTGTTGCAATTTCCCTTGCCCAATTTCCCTCTATACTCCAGCAGGAAGTCCCCCTTGCTGAAATGCTTAGTGGTGAAAAGACCATAACCTGTATACCAACAAGAAATAAAGGTCAAACACCACAATTGGTCACTCATAAAAAGTATACACACATGTGCGAGTTGATAAGAATTGGACCCACATTTTTTTTCCCTCTTTGTTTTGCCAAGTTGATTGCCAAGAGACTTCATTCAATTTTGAGTATAGCTCAGTCGGTAAAGCGTCTGTACAGTATTCCGGAGGTCACAGGTTCGAATCCTGCCCCTGCCAGTCTTTCTTTGTTAATTCTTTGAAATGTATGCAAGATGATTACCTAGTCAGTTTCTCTTGTGTTTTATCTTTGTGTTAAGTATAAAACTTATAGTTATACATTTTTAAAAGAATCCCTGTTATCTTATGACAATTTATTTTTAAATGCAGATGATTTTGGCATGGAATTAATGACCAAAACAACACAGTACCTACAATACACGTTTGTTGGCCTACATGGACTATAGTATGTTACAAGAGGACCCCTGTGTGGACCCTTCAAACTCAAATGGATTTAGGAATTAGGCTTTATTACACAAAGGTTATTTGCCTTTTGCTTGCCAAAATCCTTAAAAAATGCCTGGTTAATTTTGCTAGATCAGTAAATTTCAGGACCCCTGATAAACTTCATTTGAGAAATCAAAGGTGCATCCCACGGTCATGATGGAATCCCGATGTTGTTACAACTTTAAATTTAGTAACCAACTGTCACACAAATTGACTGATACATACATTGTATTACTAACCAGAATGCGTAAATATGTATAACACTATCGTTTAGTAATACAGTATCGGTCAATTTTACTACGTACATTATATCAGTCATATCAGTACATTATATCAGTCAAACGTGAGTGAGTATAGCCATTTATTGGTTTTTATAACTGTCTTCAATCACATGTTCTACTTACCAACACAGTCATTGATGTACCTCCTCTCGAAGCCTACTTGATCACTGCCATTATTGCACCATTTCTCAGCATGTTGTTGAGGCGATATTCTCCTTGTTTTTCTGCAATTCATTTTCTCTGACAAAGCAAAGAAGTACTACATTAAAGAAAATACCAAAAGATTACACAAACAAACATGCTCCATGTTTATTTTTGCTTGCAATATGCACAACATGTCATTTGGCAATAAAAAAATCATTGATGTTCAAATTCATCAGAAATGAGCGTTGTTCTGCAAATTTTGAGAGTGAAGCAACGGCAAAACACATATCATCAGCAGACTCAGAGGAAATAAAATGATGATGATGTGCAGTACTACAAACTCTGGTCACAACGAACAAGTAACAATAAACTAGTTTGTCACAAATTTGTCAATAGGGTTTCATGTACAAAGTTCTTCATACGAAAGTACAGTATGAAATGCATTCACAGTGATCGAGATGGGTGTGCATGGAGTTAGCCTACATTTTGCACAACACATATAAAATAACCAACAGGAGAAGATCAACGGAAATTTTGCTGCTTATAAATAATTTGATCTTTTAGTGATAAAATTGAATATATGCACATAAATAGGCAGTACTGAAGCGAAATCGGCCAATTGATCCAAACGTCAAACAAATTTTGCAGTTTTCTTTCAATTGTCCTACATGTATAATTTGTCTTCTGAAAAGTCTCTGAAATTATCATTAACGTATTACTTTCTGGTCCAAGTCATTATTTTGAGTAAAAAATTATAAAAAAAAACATTGCAAAAAAAATAGTCCCCTGCGCACGAGGTCCAGAACAGCATGACAGGACAGGAGCCATATCTGCGGCAAATGGGCATGTCAATTTTACATTATACCTTGGCTACCCCGACCGTCACATTATAATCGACATGAATCGCTAAGTAGGTCTTAGCTTGGGCCTAGGCCTAGCTTATGTTGATGACATTTACAATGCAGCATGGCAGCACACACAACCAAAGATCCTACACAGCCATATCAAGCGACGTTGACGTGTACAATAGACGTCATTTTTTAGTTATGTTTTTTTTAAAGCTCCGCGCACGAGCTCAGCTGGCAAAAAACGTTAACACAAAAAAAAAATTTGAGCGTTTGCTAAACTTACTTTATGTACATAAATGTTCATTTTGAATGTATTCGTCAATCTAGTGGAAAAAAAAAAAAACTTTATAGTAGGGAAAGTTTTTAAAAATATCTCGAAAAATGTGCGATTCATCGCAACGGGAATCGCGGCTGCCGTGGCAGATTTTCGATCTAATCGCACAGGTCCCTGGCACCGTACCCCAAGCACCGGTACGCGCAAAATGATAGGAGCCCGCCGAGTACCCATTAGTGCCGAGTCTGGGTACTCAACGGGCTCCAATCATTTTGCATGTACGAGGTGTGGAGTACCAGAGACCTGTGCGATGAGATCGAAAATCTACCGTGGCAGCTGCAATTCATTATTTTTAAAGTTTATATCCAATACAGTGGCGGATCCAGAGAGGTTATTTGCCGGGGGGCTGAGGTTGTTTGCCGGGGGGGGGCGCAACAGCTCATTCGAATGAAAAATGACCAAAATGACCTTATTTTACAAAATTTCGTTCACTGCCGGGGGGGGGGGGGGGGTGCGCACGCCCCCCTAGCACCCCGGGATCCGCCAATGCAATAGATCAATGAAGACATTCAATATGAACATGTACATAAAAGTAACACTCCATTTTTTTCACGTTGCATTTTTTTGCCGGCTGAACTTGTGGAGCTCATTCACGGAGCTATAAAAAAAACATAACTAAAAAATGATGTATTGCACACGTAAGTTCAGCAAAGTGAAAAAAAAACATGTTTCACATCCCCGCCTGCTTCCTTTTTGGAGGCCGCCTGGATTTAAAAAAAAAAAATTTGAAAACGCAGTAAAAAGACACCGAAAAAGTCCAGAAATTCATCGGAAAATAAATACTTGCGAAATATGTGAGTCGAAGTTTCAGTGACAGTATACTCTAAATGACACTAATATGTTCAGTTTTCTTGTCCAACTTGTCCTTCATTTTAAAAGTGTCTTTGAACAGTTGAAACACCAACGGTTGCAGGAAATTTTAAAATGGCTGCCATCTTGAAAAAAAAAAAAAGGCCCCTCTCCTCCTTTTTATCAAAAAAACCGGACGAGAGAAACATTTATTTTTATTCGGCCTTGCGCCATCGTCGCTTGATTAAGGCCAAAAAAATAATACTTCTGCTTCCAGTTACCCGACTGACCCTATTTTAAGGCTGCGACCCTAAAAATGTTATCTGCAATTCCAGAAAAAAAATTATAATAATGATTGAATAAATGTCTTTTTTTGTCTTCATAAAATACCTCTCAACAACCCTTTTTTAGTCAACAAAGCTTGTATTTATTTGTTTTCTTACTTACATTCGCTATTTTTTCAAAAGAAACCTTCGTTATTTTTACAAATTCGCTTCGCGATATAATTTTAAACTTCGCAATTCGATGTCACGGTCTAATCACGTGCGTAAACCCAGTGCAATGCGGCGATGACTGGTTCCCGCCGCGCCAATTTAGAAGATATGATGAAATTGCGGTAACTAGTCTGTGCACGGCTATGTGATCGATAGCATGGCTACAAACACGTGCACTGTCAACTGGTCGGATTCGACATCGTAAAAATGCCAAGAAAGCACCGATGGAGAAAGAACGTTTTTGCAAATTAATTCACAGAAATGATCTAGCTTGTCTGTGTATGTATTTTCTGGGTTCAAGAGTTCATTATGAGATTGCACTACTCGTATTTGGAGTGATACATGCCGCGTGTTTCCCAAATTTTTGCCCGTGAAAACAGGTCTGTCGGCCATGGCGGGCCGCTCGCCACACATGCTCGCATCACCCACCTCGGGGTTTTGGCTAGCTCCCGCGTCTTGACTAGCGTGTTTCCCGACATTTTCGACCGTGAAAACAGGTCTGTCGGCCCATGGCGGGCCGCTCGCCCCACATGCTCGCATCACACACCTCGGAGTTTTGGCCAGCTCCCCGCGTCTTGACTAGCGTTGTGCATATGGTGCGAACGACCTGAATTTTCCATTATTGTTTTAAATTATCGAACGTAAATATATTGACAATAATTATAGGTAGTTTTATTCACTTTTTGTTGCCATTTCGTGTATAGCTTTGTAGTGCAACGGAAATAGTTCAGGCTAAAACTTCGCATATAATTGGATACCCCATTCAATCTGCATAAAAAAAAATGGCAAAAAAAAAAAAATTCCGACCGACCGACCCTATTTTGAAAGGCATGTAATCGGAAGCAGAAGCAATTTTTTTTTTTGGCCTAAGCGATGTATGCACAGTTAAGCGACATCGCTAGATCTAGTTTTGGAACCCGACCGGAGTAGGCCTAGTCCTACCTGAATTTGTGTCCGTAACTTGCTCACCTTTCCAAATTAACCGAGTAGGCCGCCTAGGGCTAGGCTACAATGCAGCTAGGCCGCATGCAGGGCAGGCTATACTTTAACGCACAAAAGCAATCGAAATACTGAACACTATGATCAAAACAAAAACCAAAACATACAAGCAAAATACTGCCAAAATCAAATTTCTAACATAAATTTGGACAACGTCCAATCGCTCATTGTTAGGACAATATTCACGCCAAGCCATGTTTGTTCGACTAGTCTAATTAAACGTTAGGCAGTGCAGTATTGGCTTCAGTACTTGTTAGGCCTACGTACGTGCGGGTGATGTAGTGACTGTACTGATAGTGACGGGACCGCGCCGCGTGATCAGGTCAAGTAGGCCTATACTGAGCGTCGAAATATTAACGTGATGTGATAAAAAGAAACCATGAGTAAACTAGGCCTAAAAAATGTTTTTGCATAGAAAATACAATGTTTTTTTTACAAACCTGATGTGCCTTCTATCTGCCTATAATCGTTAAATCATCGCAGGCGTCCAGCGATCTGAACAATCGAATCGTGGACGTGTTTCATCCTGCAAGCGCGGGAAATGGCATGGCACGGTGCCAACTTGCGCGCTCGGCGCGCTCGAGCTCGCAGCGGCCCGGATCGGTACAGCGCGCGCGCCACCACGTACCGCTTGAGGGCGTCCTACAGTTAGGGACGAGTACGTTCCATTTTTTTGTCACACGAGCTGAATGTAGTTCATACTTTCACGCACCGACTCCTGATCTTCACCGCCAAAACGTGGACTATCGTTAAAACTGTTGGGGAATGATAGAGCGCCTCTTCTAGCCAAAGATATTCCAAAAATACAGAAAAAGTAACCGTGGACGTCCACGGTCCCAGTGCGTCACAATTTGAAGGTGTGTAATCCTAGTGAAAGTCCACGATTGCCGGTATTTACACACGCACCCACACACCCACCCACACACCCACCCACACACGCACCCACACACCCACCCACACACCCACCCACGGAAGGACAAGGCGGAAACAGTATGCCCCTTCGGCTTCGCCGCGGGGCATAAAAAGCAATGTATCATAAAATAACATGCAGTTTGTGTTAAAGGGCATCGGAATTATACAATCATAGATGTCAGATGTAACAGGGACGGGAAAAAAAGTGGACCCCAAATTTATAGAATGGCCATATACAACATTTGCAAACATTGAAAAATAAAACTACCAAGTTTTTACGAAATACCTTACTAGGATGTTGGTAAATGACAGTCTAAAGCATCCTGTAAAATTATGGCACCTGGTGTGAAGTCATTTTCAAGAAGATGGTATTTTTGTATACATTTCCAGCGGTGGTCGGCCGACCACCGTTGGAAAAACCTAACTATTTTGCAACTACTGCTCCAAATTTACCATTTTTTATTCAGTTCAAATTTTGTTTGCTATTGGTTACATATTCATGAACGGGTGTAGGCCAGCTAGACTTGTTCCCTTACCTTACAATTTTCCGGCATCTGGAAATTGATCCATTTTATCTTTGGTGGAGTCAGGGAACCAGACTACTTGAACATTTTGGGGGTTTTTTTTGGTTTTTCAAGCATTTTCGAACAAAAAAAATTCAAACATGTCAGTGTAACAAAATTTGATCTTTTATACTAACCCCCTAAATAGTTCATTTCTGAAAATTACAGCAAAAACCAATGGTGTACATTCCCTTTAAACGAGGTTTGCCTTTCATGCAAACAACAGAAGAAACACATAGTAAAATCTGGAAAAAAATAACCAAAAAAAACAAAAAGCAAGGAAAAAGAGAACTAAAACCACCAGGTTTTTGTACCTTTCTTGGGAGGCTGTGACTTAGAAGTCCAAGTGCTGCTACTGTTTTTCTTAATCTTGTGGTGGTGGCTTGGCATCAGCGTTGCGGCAGTATCTTTGGATGCACCGGTCCCCATGGTGGTGGCTTCCCGCTGCTCATACGCGTGTGATCCTGGGAGTTGCTGCACCTGGATGCAGGCTGTCAGCGGCCCGAGTCATTCCACTGGAGGTCATCCTGATTATTCAGTTGCTCGGTTACCAGTACGTGGTGGATAGTTTCTCTGTGATGACGAAAATAAGAGGGAAAAAAAGCAAATTGGAAAGTGTACAGGTACAAATGCACTTCAACGTAATGTTTACGTTTACAATGTATGCAACTGCAAAGTCTTGTATCTTACATGTCCTACGGCATCCCCAAGAAAATACAAAGTATCATGCAATCCCTCCCCCCCCCCCCAAAAAAAAAAATTTTTTAAAAGCAAATTTATGTCCTCAAGCATGTCAAGTACAGAAATATCCATTTTAGAAAGAAATTAATACAAGTTTGTAGACCAGTTGACTGGTTTACAATGCACTTGTGGCTGTTATTAAAATACATACCGGTAGGCCTACACTTCTGATCCAGTGGAAACTAGATCAATCCCATGCACCAGAAACTACAAAACCTGTAAATTTTTTTTTTTTTCAAATTACTTGAGTGCAGGAACATCAACCGTTGGCAAAACACTCATTTTTAATTAGACACCCATTGCCCATAGCAACACGGGGATTATATTGACTGTACACAAATTTTGCCTAGCAACCACACGTCACATGAGAAACCCATCATTATATGATAGCAGAGTTGCAACTTGGCTGCCATTCCTATGCCACAATGCATCGCATGCATGCATATAAGGCTATACTGACCGTTAGTACAGTATGATGGTATACAAATAATGAAGTTTGTGAGTGCAATGGTAAGAATATTTCATGAGGTGACAGATGAAATGTTCCATTCCACGAGGCGAAGCGAGTGGAATGGAACATTTCATCTGTCACCGAATGAAATTATTATTTCCATTGCACGAAAGTGAAACATTCATTATTTGTTTTATATAACACCTGAATAAATCCTTGTCATCTGATTGGTTGACTTTTAATAGCCAATTTATCAGGTTAAAAACTGTTTAAAAGTTCGACACGTTCATCATATTTATATTAATGCAAACTGTTCAACAGGTTGAGAACAATTATATTCAATTTATCTCGATTTAAAACAGAACTAATAGAACTTCCATTGCACTGTGCGCTGCGCGCCGACGCGCGCGCCGTGCGAATAATTCAATGACATG